TGTGTGTGTGTGTGTGTGTGTGTGTGTGTGAGAGAGAGAGAGAGAGAGAGAGAGAGAGAGAGAGAGAGAGAGAGAGAGAGAGAGAGAGAGAGTCGCGTACCCGGGATATACGCTGAGAGGACGAACTTCGAGATTCCCCGGCAAGCGAACATAACGAGTATCGCTGAGCTTCTCTAGAATGTCCAAGCTCTTCGTGGAAAGAGTCAGGGGCAGTTGATACTACCGTGCCCAGTCCAGCTTTCCTGCATAATATATAGATGGGTGATCATGGGTCTATATGTACATACGTTGATGGATCGGAGGGACTGTTTTGACTACCCGCCAAAAGAACAAAGTGCCAACGTTCTGGTGTGGTTGGAGGAAGTCCAGGATATCAACCCCACAGAGAACGGCTGGCTCCTCTCAATTGGAGGGGAGCCGCACCTGGACGCAATCTTTCCTCTAAAATTGATTGAAAAATAAAGGGGCAATTTGCAAAATACCCCTTCAAAGTTTAGATAAATGCCGAAATGCCCCTAAAAGATGGGGGTAGAGCGCAAGACCCTTCTGACAGTTAAAAATCTTTGCAAAATACCCTTAGCATCAGTTGGACCGACCATGTTTGCAATATACCCCTACCGGGTACCGTCCAGCCTTGGAAAATGCCCCAGTACTTGCCAACTTCTCCTAGTGGCTATTGCAAAAGGCCAATATGCCCAAACGGGAAGGTCCAGATTGCAAAGATGCACACACAGGGGCACAACGCAGACATTTCGGCCAGAAAGGGCATCCCGTTCAGGGGCATTTTGGCATATATCTCAACTTATGACGGTATTTTACTATTTTGCAAATTATCCCAAAACTAAATAAGGGAAAAACAGAGAACGTGGCTGCTCCATTTCACCCTTTTATTTTCTTTTTTCTTTTTTCCACATCACTTTGCTTGGGACCTCACAATTTCAACCCGGTAGTCAGGGATGGGGTGGGGCCGCCGGTGGGGGTCCGGCTAACGCAAAGACAGAGCATTTTGCCCGTAGCTGCGCCTCCCTTTCTCATCGTCCCCCACCCCTCATCGAGTAGCAGCAGAGGCTATGGCCAACACTCTCCCACACACCACACACAACCCACTCTCGCTCACACTCACCCCTGACTACCGCTGTTGGTGCAGGGGCCAATATGAATTACCTCGCTTGCGAGGCCCTATGCTTGCAGGGGTCCCCTCTATATAGTCTTATGAGTAGTGGTAGGAAAGTAGTGAAAGGTGAAAAAAAGAATTTGAGAGAAGAATGTAGTGTAGTTCAAAAAAAAAAAAAAAAAAAAAAAAAAACAGTTCGCCCGGATTGCTGGAAAGCAGGTCCAGCATCCTATCTTGGGTTTCAAACTGGAAAACAGGTCCCGGACCAGTGTCCTCAGAAAAAGAGGTAGAAAACAGGCTGGAAACCAGGTCTGGCGTCCTGACCCGAAGAAGCAGTTCTAGCAAGTTTTAGGCTTTTAGCAACCCCTGCATATGAAAGAAAATAAGGCCTGTTTACAGAACAGAAGGTACCCCTCTTGACAGTCTATTGACTATCCCTGGTCTAGCCTTAAAGCACCAGTACATGGGCACCTGGGCTGCGGGTCTGACACCTCAAATTCTGGAGGCGCGAAACGAAACCGCGACCGCCGATCTAATTTATCGACGGCAGGCGCAGCGTTTGACGTTCCGGCCTCGTTTTCTTGTGGTGACAAGTTTCGGACTGCAAGGCTGGGGCCGTGTACTGGTGGTTTAATCCAAAGGTTTGGTTTCTGTCTGTAGCAGAAGCTAGAAAGACTTTCCTTTTCAAGTAGCAGATTGTTCGTCCTACAGCAGTCTGGAAAAATAGACTTGGCCTGAAGCCAGGGACCCTGCCCATCTGAAGGGCGGTTCCCACACACCCTTAGAGTTAGAGAGCCTAGGACCACCCGTATTTTCGGGGCCCTGCTATCCGGGCTGGCCCCACTACTACCCAAAATATGCAAAATGAGAATGAATCTTTGGCCACAACAGGAAACTATACACCGCCATATTTTTTGTCTTTTGTACATGTGAAGAGTAGTGGAGCGAGGCCCATCGTCCAAGGCGAGAAAGGGCTATGGGTCTCGCTCCACTAATCCCCACATACATAAACGACAGAAAATATGCCAGTGTTGTGACGAACTATCTTCTGTAGTCGCGCGACTTCCTGCGCGAGGCTGCTGTGGGGAAACAGGAGGGCCTTGATGGGTGACGGGGCGCAAGCGGGATTGGTGGCGCAAGTTGCCTGGATGTCCTCGCTTGTTTTTCGTTTTCGTTGGAGTTGTCGGGCCGGTGCTGGGAAAGTCCCGCGCCGACGATTAAGTGACCGCGCCCTAGCGAGCGCGAGAAATGACGGTTGCCATAGCTTCTTTCTTGTTCTGCTATGCGCACTAGGAGTTTGGCGCGATCAGCGCGCGGGGATTTTCGTTTTTGAAATTAACTAATGTCGAGCCCCCGCAGGCTCTTGAAATTGTTCTTTTCGGAATTTTCTCTTGCATTTAGGATTTAGACTAGGAATTTAGGCACCTTGCAGTTTGGCGGCACGATGCTTCTTGCTCGCACGCACCGTGCCCCGACAGGATCCGGGCTCTGATTCCATCCGCGCCTCAATCCTGTGTGTAACTGTAGTTTTTGGCGGGCGCAATCGCAACTGTAATCTTCTTGTTCTTGATGACTTTCATATTTCCTTCTTTCCCGCCTCGTCTTCGCATGCACGCTTTTTCCTCTGTTCTAAGTGGTTCCCATGGATGCATACCCGGATCGATGTGCGGAGAGTGACTTCGTCCCCTGCGCCGCGGCCTGGACATACAGACGTAGGCACTCCCTCTTTTCTCTTTCTCATTACTTGGTGCTAATCCCGTATCCCTCCCGCAAGCATGTATGCTATAAATTTTGCAAGCGCGATTAGTTCTCTTTCCAAGAACCTCAAGGTTAGCGCGATCAGTGAGGGTCGACTAACGAGCATTGAAAGGTGAGTGAGCATGAGAGTTGGGCGATCCGACGAGCTGGTGCTGAGTGCGCGGGGTTGACGCGTGGTCGCGACGGATTGCGGCACTTGGGCGAGCCTGGCTTGCACACTCAGGCCAAGCGGGGTGACGACTGTGTGTGGCTTGGAGATGAGGGGCAACGGACTGCCCGCATTGAGAGAAGAAAGAAAGAGAGATAGAGCGAGACAGGGATGTGGTGGAACATTCTTTTTTTTCCTCCTTATCTTCTATGTAAAGTTTTGATTCCGACGTTGGTTAATTTTTGCTCCGGCACCTTCAGACTCCCTGTGTGAGTCATCTCGGACCATCTGCTTGTGTGTATGTATGCATGAGAATGAATCCTCTTTTGAGTTGTCTTTAATTTCCAATTTTTGTTCTGCTCAATTTCAATTTCGTCACTCTTGAGTACTCGTCTATGTTGCGCGTATAACCTTGCGCGCATCTTGTCCAATTACTTGGTTTTTCTTGAGTCGCGCATGATTGCAAGGATCATGGGGTGCGTTGGTTCTGGATGCTAAACGAACTCCGCCCTCTCTTGTGTATGATGGTGTGAGCATGAATGCAAAGATTAGTCTGCCCGAGATTCGGATAACAGTCGTACGAAAGGACTTGTTGCATGCATATTGGATAAATCGACACACAGGCAAATCGCTCCCCGGCGACGAACTCGCACGCGGTCTTTGATCCGATCGACCGGCTCATGCGCACGCATGTGTAAGGTAGCCGCCCGTGGGGGTGGCCTGCAGCCTACGCGCGCGCGGGCAAGAGCAAACCCGATCCCACTCGTCGAAGATGCCTGCGCTAAACCCCGCTAAATAGGATATGGCGATCGAAACTCCCTTTTGGATTACCGATAGCGAGAGCCTAAGAGATCCGGAATCCCGAGTACCCCTGCCGAACTGGAAATGAGCAACTGTGAAGAGGCGATTTCCAGTTGGCCATTAATCGAGACTCGCGGATCCCGGATTATCCCGATAGCCGAAGCCAGCATTACCTTCTAACCCCAGGCTTCGTGGCCATCACCACTAGTTTCCCTCCCTATTACGTCGTCCTCTTGTATCACCAATTACTCGTCGTCCCCTGGGAGTCCATAGCCCGGTTCTGGCCCTGACCGCCGTGCTCAGAGTGTCAGCAGCGCGACGAGTACCATCCGGCGGGGATCACTCGACGAACCCGTCCCGAACGGAACAACGGGAGCACAACTCATCCTCCTCAGCCTCGGAGACCTGCGCCGGCCGACAACGGTACGAGTATTCCCACCGGGACGCCCGCGGCGCTCCTCCCGAACACCATACGTGGATCAGACCGCGAGATCGGCCATCACCCCAACTCTGAGCCGAAGGAGACGCTTGCACGCCTAACCCTGGAACTTGACACATGAGATTCCAGTTCCGACCTGGAACTCCACCCCCACTTTCATAAAATCCTTGGCACACCCCTTTTCGCACTTCCAGGCCCACCAACACTCCGAACACAGGAAGTTGCGCTGGGCGTGAGGTTTGGGCGTCACAACGTATCTTCCCACGTTCTAGGATAAGATTCAAGGGCCCGTTCCACACTCCTTGGCGCGTCCTCGGGGCCGAAGGAAGTTTCCTTGGGGGGGTTCAAGGAAATTCGCGCCATCGTTCCACCTGTCCTCGAGGACGTCGCCCGAGGACATTTCCTTCGAACCATGTCAGAAAATAAAATAAAATAAAATAAAAATCAAATGTGTTTGAGGCCTTCAGCCAATAGGGTGCCGCCACGACAGATTCTCAGTCGTAAGGTCTCTCTACCCATGTGCCCGCTCCTCTCTCCGTGAAACGCGGATTCCTTTTGCCCAAGGGTCTCTTGAGCAAAAGGAAGAAATGACTGGGAATCCTAGGAGCCCAAGGAATTTCCTTCGGAGTGTTTTCACTTTTTTTTTTCCGACTGCATCCCCTAGGATAGGTGGAACGAACAATTCCTCGGTGACTTTGCGCGCCCGAGGAGTGTCGAACGAGCCCCTCAGTTTCAATTGGCACATTTGTCGAGTAGTGGAATGAGGGTCACGCTCTCCCCTCTCCTCCATTGAAGTTCATTTTTTCGTGGAACTCGGTGCCTGACTGACCTGGCTGCCCTGCGGGTGGATGTGTTTTTTGCACATTCAATACTCTAGCCCTGTCTGCACTACTCTCCACACGTATTTCAGATAAAAAAGATGGC